CAGAGTGCTGTCAGATGGCGCGAACTCGGGCTGCTGAGCCTCTACCTTGGCTGAAAGGTAGAGCTCCCGAGCGCTACGCAAGACGAGGGACAGCTGTAGACTGCGGTGGAGACGCAAGCCACCTCGCTGCATGCGAGAGTGGTACATCTTCCACACCGACAGGGTCATGATGCGCTGCGCTTCCTTCTGCGCCTCCATGCTTGCTTGACGAGAGCCGGGAACGGATTCAGACGGGCGCTGCGGCTGCGGCTGCGGCTGCTGCCCAGACAACAAACTTAGACCAGCAGGTCCAGAGCTACAAATTCCGGCCGGAGAAGCGCGCCGGCGCTCTTTTAATAGAGCCGGGATGACGTCACGGAGACGCCACGCCCAATCAGAAGGCCTCATCCGGGCTTTCCACAGTGGCCAGAGACTCCTTAAAGCAATAGACATGAATTTACGCCTTGAAGAAGGTACTTAGCTCCTGGCGAGGAAGAACTTTCCGCGCTGCACCTCGAGCCCCTGGGTTGGTCTGGGTTCTCAGACTCCCTGGCGGGCCAGCCACGGGTGGTGGGTGGTAATCTTCCTTTGCGGCGGGAAGACCCGGGAAGGGGTCCGTTCCCCGAGGGCACGGTTCCTTGCGCCTACCAGCCGGCTAACTCATGTTTTCTGAACAGTAAGAACGCTGCTACTTCTAAACACGCCAGGGCTGTTAGCTTTCTCTTTATTCCGTGTCTGATTCCCCATCCTCACTCCTCTGAAGGCACAGTGAGACACCTGAGGCAATCACCTGGCTAATGTTTACTAAACAAACGAATGACTGCACTGGGGCGAAAGGACACCTTAAGCCTCCAGCCCTCCTGTCTCTGTCCTTCTGGACACGGGTGGACAGCTGGCGCGGACGAGGCTGGCTGACCCTGGAGGGAGCTACCCCACAGCCGCCGGTATCCACGTAGCGACTGCTGAGCTCACGCCGTGGGCCCAGCGCCGTGGGAGTCCCGCAGACACTCTGCCTCCGCACCAAGAAACATATCTGGGCCATCGAGGAGGCTCAGGGGGTACAATCACTGGCCGACAAGCCTGACGACCTGAGTTCGATTTCCACGCGCGCGCGCACGCGAAAAAACACACACACACACACACACACACACACACACACACACACACAGACGTCGGTTCCAACCTGCGCCACTCGCCAAGGAAAACCTGAGTCTCGGGGCAAAGGGGTAAAAACGTTCTAACATTGCCTTTCACTTGTGGTGCTTGCCCTTTAAGGGACACTGCCACACCAAAGCGTAGACTTCCCGCCACTGCTGCAGGCCGACTTCCCTGGCTAAATTTGGATGTAGTGACGTAGGGCGGCGCCGCGAACTACTTCCGGATGTCCATATAAGGATGAGGGCCGACCGTCTTGGCCGTAGCAAATGGGCTTCCGGGGCGGAGCCTCCATCGCAGACCACACCCCTTCATTTCTGGCACTCCCCCCCCCCCCAGCGCTGTCGCGGTTACTTCTGCGGTTGTTACTGTCGTCCTCTGGGCGGTCATCTTAGAGTCCCAACGTCGCTCCACTGGCTACGTTTCCCTTTTCTTATGCTATGCCCACGCTGCGGCATCGTTATGCGGGATGAGTCTGCGTGGAGTGAGCCTCAAAACTCTCCTGCATTCGCAGGTGTAGAGGGCGAAGTACTGTGTCTGGGTCTGTTCCCTCCTCCCATCTTTCAGGGGAAGCTGCCCGGATACTCAGGACGTGTCCTTTATCCGCTGAGCCATCTCACCGGCCTTCTAATTTTTGGTATTTTGAAACAGGGTCTTGTATAGCTACAACTGCCCTGGAACTCATAAAGATCCGACTGCATTCTGCCTCCCGAGTGTGTGTGTGTGTTCCAAGAATGCTTGCATGCCTGTGCACCACGTGCTTGCAGTAGCAGCGGAGGTCAGAATGGGGCGGCAGATCGCTGGGCAGGCACCAGAGCTGTTATGTAGGAGCTGGGAACCGAACCTGTGTGCTTTCTTTTTGCTGGGGACGTTTGAGGTTCACCGCAGTCGCCGAGTTGGGGGAGGGAGCTGATATGTCTCTCCAGGACCCTTTCTTTCTATGTAGTCCTGGAACTCACTCTATAACAGGCTGGCCTCGAACTCACAGAGATCTGTCTGCCTCTGCCTCCCAAGTGCTGGGATTAGCGGCGTGCACCGCCATGTCAGGCTGCAGTAAATGTTCTTAGCTGCTGAGCTAACTTTAATGCATCGATCGAATGAGCGCCTTACCCCGCTGTGATCTCATGAGTTTCCGGAAAACTAGGATTATTGATGCTGGCTTAAAAGGAAACTGAAGTTCCGCAGCACCAGTCTGAGTGAGGGTCGACCCAATTCTGTAGGGTTTAGGGCGTGAGGGGTGAGGCTTGTGCACTGGACGCCCACAACCAGCATGGCCGAGGAGCAGGTGGGAGTCCACACGCTTTGGCCTTCTAGGGCCGCTCTTGTCGGCTGGGCTCTCGATGGTGGCCAAGTATCACGAGGTGTTTCTTTTCCGTCAGCCTGACCCTGTGTGTTTTATGTTCTGTATGTGTGAACCTGCCCTTCTGTGTCAACTTCCAGCCCCTGTACATTCTTTGGTTATTTACCCGCCTCTTTATAAATATCTACACCTAAGCTCTCATTACCTAAATGATGTGTGCCTGTACTTAGCAGGCATGACCTGCTGTCCTCAGTGCTCTTGAAACACACGGGGTGGGGTGGGGGTGGGGATCGAGAGATAAGGAGAGTCTATGGTGAGTTGGGCATGGTGGTTTATACCTCTAATTTCAGCACCCAGGAGGATTGCAGTGAGTTCAAGGCTATTGTGGTCTACATAGCAAGTTCCAGGCCAGCCAGGGCTATATACAGAAACCCCATCTCAAGCAAAACAACATTCATGGTAAGCTTGGTGAGGTGGCTCATGCCTCCTCCCCAATCCAGTAGCTCAGAGGCTGATACAGGAAGCTCAGCAGTTCTAGGACAATGAGGCCTAGATAGGATCTTAATTTTTTCACATTTACTTGTTTATCTATTTAAGTGTACATGTATGGAGGAAGAAAACAAATTAGAGGAGTTGATTTTCTTCCACCATGTGGATCCCAGGGATTAACCTTAGGTCATCAGGTTTGGTATCAAGTGTCCTTTCTCTCTCTCTCTCTCTCTCTTGGTTTTTCAAGACAGGGTTTCTCTGAGGCTTTGGAGGCTGTCCTGGAACTATCTCTTGTAGATCAGGGGGATCTCGAACTCAAAAGAGATCCACCTACTTCTGCCTCCCAAGTGCTGGGATTAAAGGCGTCATAGTGTCCTCACTCTTGAAGCCATCATCATAGCCTCAGTCTCTGTCTTTTGGTTTTTGAGATTTTTTTTTTTTTTAAGATTTATTTATTTATTTATTATGAAGTGTTCTGCCTACATGTATGCCTGCAGGCCAGAAGAGGGCACCAGATATTATCACAGGTGGTTGTGAGCCACCATGTGGTTGCTGAGAATTGAACTCAGGACTTCTGGAAAAAGACAGTGCTGTTAACCACTGAGCCATCTCATCAGCTCGAGATTGTCTATTCCTTAAAACAAAACAAAAACAAAAATAAAAAACCTGACTTATATATCTTGTGTATGTACACATGCATGTGGGTTCCCATGGAGGTCCTAAAGCATCTGATCCCCTGGAATTGGAGTTCTATGAGCTTGTAAATTGCCTGACATGGGTCCTTTGTAAAAGCAGTGAGCCCTCTGAATCATTGAGCTCTTTTTCCAGCCCCCAGGGTTTCACTTTTTTTTTTTTTTCCCCATTCTTTTTCACTGTTGTGCACTGGGTCAAACTATGTAGTGCTGGCTTGCTTCAAACTCAAAGATCTGCTTGCTCGGATGTTCCAGACCACTGGGATTAAAAACATCCAACCAATAAGACACCTTTTGACTGTGTACATTTACACACTTCTCCTTAGTCCTTTTAAACATGTCTGGGGGTTAGGACAAAAGAGGTGGGCCTATTGGCACATGCCTTGCTATGAGTTCAAGGCCAGCCTGGTCTATACAGAGCAAGTTCCAGGACAGCCCAGGGCTACACAAAGAAACCCTGTCTCAAAGAAAGAAAGGAGAAAACAAAAAGCCCTTCCACATCTTGCCCTCCCTCAACTCACTGTGTGGAAGCTGTACCATGAAACATCCCACCCATTACCCTACCCATACTCCCACAGCCCCGCTGACTAAATGAACAAAACAATGTAGTAAGGTCTATAGAAATATTAACCACCTAGCCTAAAGACAATTTTGCCATCTGACCTCCTAGTATCAGGGACCAGTCCCAATCTGAGAAACAAAGGGGCCTTGGAATATTGGGAAAAAGAAAAAAAAAAGTTGTAGCCTCCTATCAAGGGGGGCCAGGAGTCCAGAAGACCTCCTGCAGCAAATCTGTGTCCAAGGCTCCTGGATTTGTCTTGATCCAGGCCATGGATCATGCTGTAGCCCAGCCTGGCCTTGAACTCACAGCATTCCTCTTGCCTCAGGCTCCCAAATGCAGTTTACCACCACGTGCTGGCTAAGTAGGTAGACTGCTTGCTTAGCATGTTTTAAGCTGTAGGTTAGTGCCCTAGCACTCCATACCTGCAGTTCTAGCACTCACCAACAGGCTGGAGGATCAGAAGTTCAAGGTCCTCTTCAGGTACTCAAGGAGTTTGGGAACACTACAGACACCATCTTAAAATCTCAAAACCTAAATGAAGTGTGGACTTGCACACAGGCATGTACACAGAATTAAAAACAAACAACAGGCTAGGTGGCAGACACCTGTAATCCTAGGTACTTTGAGACTAAGGTAAAGCAGAAGTACTTAAGTCGAAGGCCTGCCTAGACTACAGTGCACATAACAAAGACGGCTGGTGCCACACTGCCCTGAGTGAAGTGCTTGGCATGCAACTGTGTATATCCATATAAAGTAAATAAATGTCAATAAAGACAAAGAGAAGCCAAAGTGTAGTAGCATTTTCTGTTGTTGAGTCCTAGTCTAGGTTTGTTTGTTTTTCAAGAAAGGTTTCACTGATGTTCTGGTTGGCCTTGAACTCACGAGATACACCAGCCTCTGCCTCCTGAGTGCAGTGATCACCACTGCCCAGCTTAACATATTGTTTATGAATTTAATGATCTGCATTCCAATCTTGGGGAATAAAGGCTATAGCTCTCAAGCTGGGTAGCACTTGCCTTTTGTAAGCAGAGGTAGAGATCCAGGCCAGCCAGAGCTATATAGTGAGACCCTGACTCAAAACAAACCAGCAAACAATGAAGAAACTGAGCCATATCAAGTGGCATGGCTTTAGGGCCTCCTTGTTAGTAAGTGGCAAGTCTGGGGAGGTAGCCCACCCAGTCTCATTGTCCAGTCAATCTGCTACAAACCCACCCTGGGTCTGCTTTGGGACAGTATCCCGCTCCAACTCTGCCAGCGGCCTAGAAGCCTCAGTCCTCTCCACACCTAGGAACAGCAAGCTACCCAGGTCTGTGGGGGTTGGGGAGGCGTGGCAGGGTGAGGCTGTGGAATCCTCAGGTTTTCTAGCAGCTGCTCCTTTCCACTCAGCAGTTGGATGATGGACCACTAGGATCAACAGTTAGAAATGGTGTCTGGGAGTAGATGAGCGAGCATATAAGGCCAGGGATTGGGGGGCATGCCTCTGGCTTCTCTGGTGCACAGGTGCTCTGATTCCACCATGGTACTGGCAGCATACTGGATACCTTTACTAAAGAACTGGTTCACAGTCTCAGATGGATCAGGTCTTCAGAAAGATAGCTAAAGGGTCCCACATGAGGGGCGAGTGCTCTTTGGTAGGTTAGTTAAAGCCTGGAGTGAGTGTAGGAGGGAAGTAGCTAGTGCTCTTGACTTCTGCCACTTGTCTTCAGACAGACAATGGTATGCCATTGTAGTGCTCATGGGTGTCATTTCCTGGTCCTGATTTTACTCCTTTTTCCAATTTGGGATGTGTCTACTGGAAAGGAAGTGAACCTGGAGAGCCTACCCAAGGATCTTTTTAGACCTTGAGTTGGTACCTAAGTTTCTGCCACCGTCCCAATTCAAGTGCTCTTATAGGGTGATTTGGGAAGATATTGGACAAACTCTGCCCCAAAGCCATCCCCCTATGCCTTCTAATGGTGCCAATAGACATAAAACCCAGCAATAAACAAATTTGTATGGTATGGTGTTGATTTAAGCTTTGGCCAATCCCTTTGGATGGCTTCCCTAAGATTCCTGCTCACCTTCTCAGGGGCTCAGGTGTCTGTGTACATTAGGAACTCAACTGCCAATATTTGATACAAAAAAAGATTCTATTGTCGTCCCCCCCCCCCAGTTTCTCTGTGAAACAGTCCTGGGATTCCCTTTGTAGACCAGGCTGGCCTCAAACTCAGAGATCCGCCTGCCTCTGCCTCCCAAGTACTGGGATTAAAAGCGAGTGACTGACACCACTGCCTGGCTTTGTTCTTATTCCTTAAAAAACAAACAACAAAAAAAAACTTGTTGTTATTGTTAGTACACATGTTCCACGGAACATGTAAAGGGCAAGGAACTTTGTGAAGCAAGTTCTCTCCTACCTTTACATGGATTCTGTGGATCTAAGACAGTCTCACTAGGCTTCTGCAACAAGTACCCTTTTCTGATGAGCCATCTCATATGCCTCAAATCCTATTTTCTGAAGGCTGAGTATGGGCTTTCTTTTCACCATACCAAAACACCAGCTCCTGGTCTCAGTGAAACACAGGACTGGAAAGCAGGGACAAAAGGGTCCCAAGTCATAGGCCAACCTAAGCAGTGTTAGGGAGCTGTTTCAAAAACCACAAAGCAAACCAACCACCTAATCCCAGGTAGTCCTGGGAATTAAGATTTTAATTTTCATTATCTTCACAAGGATGTTACCTCTACAGACATACTCCTCACAGAGAGGGGTGGGCTTAGGCCTGTCTGAAGGCACAGTGAAGGCCAGTGACCTGATGAGACCTGAGCACTCAACTCCCACCTTCCTCTTTAGACAGACTTATATAGCCCAGGCTACTCTCAGACTTGCCATATAACTTAACTCCCAATGGTCTGACTTTCAATCCCCCTGGGTATAAGCCACCACCACTTTCCCATGCTTTGTCCTTGGGGCTCTGGGACTCAGTGCTGTCTGCTGCTACAGCCTGTTTTCCAGTTGCACGTGTGATCTCAGGCTGAACTGTAGTTTGGGAGCAGCACAAGTACTCCAACACATAGCACACTGTTAGAAGGCAGGTGTGCACCTTGATGGGTGGCCAGCATGTCCCTCTCCAGTGAGCAGAGCACAGCAGGGCTGTTACAAAGGCGTCTTGTTTATTCTTATCAGCATCACTGACTCTCAGGGTTCACATTTCCCAACACCACTCCTCTCCGTACAGTAGTTAATGTGCAATCTCACTTGTGGGCCTGGGAGGGGTGGGGACTTGGCTCTGGGTGGGGAGGGCATTGGCACTTCACATGGGCCAGTGGGTGATGGCCTGTCCCCATGAGAGGCATGGATGGGTGGGTTTGCCACTGGGTTTGCCCCTAGTTGTCTTTCCTGCCAGGTGGGTTACTTTTTCACTCTCCTGGATGCTTGGGGTGGGGAGCATGCAGCTCTCAGGAGGGCAGGGCAAGCAGCTGACCTCCAGAGGAGGGGTGCAGGGGTGGCTCCTGAGGTAAGGCACAACCCTGTCTTTGGCTCTCCTAGTGAGTAGTTTTCTCCCCTGTACCCCTGGCTTTATACCTCCCCCACCCCAAGTCCCGGGAGTCAGGGCCACCTCCTGAGGTGCTTGGAACCAATGGGCTCTGCTGCCCACTCTACCACAAGACCTTTCAGTCCCGTGGAGCTGCCCCCTTACTAAGTCTGGGCAGGGAGCACAGCCTGTCCTCACCATGGCCAGGCTCAGCTGCTTGCCAAGTTACCAGGACATTGTGCTTTGGGATCTTTGCTGGGGGAGATGGGACAACAGGCCCGGGCAAGGGTGGAGGGAGGGGGTATGACTAAGGTGCTTGTGCTTTAGCTAGGGATGTCAACTCCCCTCCACTTGGCCACCCATGGCTAAGGTACTGGGGTCAAGTCAGACCCAACACCCCACCCTCACCATCAGATGTTAAGAGGGACCCTGGCAGATTAGAGGGTGCTGCTGGCCTGGAGGCAAGTCTCCAGATCTGACTCAAAAGGCTCCATCCCACCTCTCCAATCCTGCAACCCCGTGCCTCTGAAGAGGCAGCTAGAATGCAGAGTTGGGGAGAGGGAGGGAGGTCAGGGCTAGAACAGAACCAGTGAGATGGTGAAATGACGTTAATGCAGGGGAGTAACAGAAACCCTGTGCTCACATATTAAATTCAGAAACCCAAGAGCTTGCTCCTGGAGAGTTAAGAGTGGAAAGAAACAGCCAGAGAAAGCTCCACAAACCACCAACAATGGATGTGGACCCTG